TATCTTGTGTTTTGGTAAAGGTCTAAATCAAGATTAAGTAGACTTGATAGTAAAACATAAATACAGTATGATGTTGCAAGCAGTTGTGAAATAAAGCATAAAATTAATGACTTGTTGTTACCAGCTCTCAATGAAAGTGATTGGATGTTCCTAGAAATGAATATCAAATAGATGAAGCATATGTCATGGTTTGAAAATTTTACAAATGACTGAGGCACAGAATTAATTAAATACTTGACCAATCACCCCAGACTACAAGTACATTTTGTCAGTGGCTTCCTAATTGTAGGTAATGAAAACCTGGAATCAAGTTTGGACCAAACTTTTAATTAAAATTGAAATTATATTTTATCAAAGAAATTTACTGACTTTTAAAAATTTGAAGAAGTCAATTGCACTCACATTGCAACACCCTTTTATGATTAGATTATGCAAGATATGATAGATTAGGTAGATATTTTAAGGCAGTAGACTTTTCTGAGACATACTGTATTACAAAAAGACATAGTCAGACTTACCAATACTGTCCCCCTGCTCATGTACCAGAGAGGCCAGGTCCTTCATTATCTGGTTGACATCCAGCATGTCTCTCTGTGGAGAAAAACAGTGCTTTGTTTCTTTACGTTTTATGTTGGCCTTCCCGATGAACACATCACTCAAATTAATTCCTTGATCCCACCTTTGTCCTGAGAACTAACAGTATTAGACCTATCAGCAGGTATAGGATGCTTTTTAATTGTTTTATAAAGCTTTCAAAAGTATTTAGTAAAATTACATCTGTCATATGTCATACTTATCTCAAAAGTCCACATCAAACAGTAAGTCTGCTAAAACCAGACTGACACTATTATCTTAAACTTGATGAACAAAACAATGTATAATTATGCAACTCTTGCAATTCATTTTACAGTTAACAAATGAATGTTAAGTTTTGAAACAGTATTCAGATTATATTTTAATATGCACATCTTAAATTAAAAGGCTCAATAGGGGAAGGAAAGCATTAGGTTATTAGGTTATTACCTAACCTGTAGGTAATACAAATGTACTGCATCAGGTCCGCTCCGACATTGTTCACTATGTAATGCTAGTGCATATGGAAATGGCAGCCTATAAAGACTGAAGTCAAATATAGGACACATGTGTACTGAACACTGTGATACACAAAAAGCCCACTGTCCATTAGTACCATTATGTGTGTATTGTGAGAGAAAGAATAGAGTTTTTTGATTGGTTTTCTTAAATATTACAGGTAAAAAATGGCAATCTGTTCCAAAATTTCTAACTAAGCTTCCACAGCTATACACAAGTTTAATCTCACATAAGTCTTTCATTATTAAGTTTATTCAAGACAGAAAGTAATTCATTAGAAATGGCTCTTTTCATAGTGTTAGGCTGCAATTGCTTTATCATTTTGGTATGTGCGTGCAGCAAATCTCATGTTCTATGTGTGTGGTGTCCTGTTCTTTTTTCTTGCTGTAAGTGGTATTGCTAAGGAGTAATAATTCTCACTACAGGACTCTAATTATGAATTTACCTAAATAATTAACATTTGTTTTCCTCAAATTTACATTTCTCCAAAGTTCTAATGCAAAGTGCATTTGTAAATGTTAGAACATTGAAGTACATTTTATAAAAAATAAACCAGCCAATTATTTGTATAGAACTGGATTATAGGCACCCAATTAAAACAGGTGTATGTCTTAAGGGAAAAATAAAACAAAAAGATTACATGCTTATTTCCACATCCTACAACCACAGGGTGGGATACCCATTGCTGTAATGTAATGCACACAATCTCAACAGTCCAGGAGATGGCATTAAACCCACATCCACTATTTTCTTTCTCATGTCAGAAAAATATATGTCAAAAATAAGGAAGAAACTATTGATCTGAAAGCTTGAAGGCACAGTTCTCCAGTGAACCTAAAGCTTTCAGTTCCAGTACATCTTTCTTAAGAGGATTCCATATTTAACACATGATGCTGAATGACTTGGATGGCCCATGAGAGCTACAGTAGGCTGTCCTAGCAGTCTGCAAGCAAATACATACAATACAGTACCTTTCAATTCAAAGAATCCACCCCCACACAAGAGCGTTGCTCAGGCCATCATACTGATTTAGCTCAGTGGTGACACACTCCCTGTCCTGACTCTGAGGCACTGCAGTAAAAGAGACAACTAAAGCTGGGTTACCTTCCTAGCCATCCCTAGAGCAGGTTTGTTCAGCTCACATACTGAGCACAATTTTGACACTGGTCCTGTCAGAATTACTGTACAGAACACAAGCCTTCAGTGCAGTGTACTGCACTGCTTACCTCCATTTACCCCTCTAGAGTTAATCAAAATGTAGTTCTGTGTAAGCACAAAAGGAAGGGGCAATCAAAGATAATAAACAGAAATTTTATCAGCTGTAACAAGGACGCCCCATGCGTGTACTGGAAAAAAAGAAAACTTGACCCTTTCTATGACCCTGTCTTGTAATACTATTTCATAGATTTACTTCAGTTAAAGGAACATGTTCATTTCTCCTGAGTTTTTTACAACTGAAACAAAATCCAATTGTGAGGTTGTCAACAGTTATTTTGTGTCTTGTCATGTTTTTTAAGGAAAGAGAATAATAAGCAAAGGTCAAAAACGTTTTTCTTTATCTGTAGTTTCAATTGTCATCTGAATCAACTTGAAAAATACAAAACAGTCCACATGACACACCAAGGCTCTTTAACGTCCGTAAGCAATAAAATAAATTGACATTTGTAAGATTCAATTAAGAATGAAAAAGGAGCAAAATGCTATGCGTCAAGACGCTGTTGTCAGTGAGATTGTTAAAACAGCTGTTATTACTATTCTTCTGTTTAATAATAGATAAATTCCTGAAAAAGGAATATAAAGGGAATGAAACACAATAAGACTGCAGAGTGATCTGTTCTGATAAGACCTTTTTGTTAGTGTTGTCATTTGATGAAACCCCTGTGAGCTTGTGTGTATTATCAACAGCAGGGGACAGATTTTCTGTGAAGGGCTGACAGGTCCAAAGAGGAAAGAAGGAGGTGATGGAGTGAATTGTGAGTTACTGCACTTCCCAGTCACCCTACATCACATGGATATACTGTACAGTATGGTGGTCAGAACAGGCAACATGCATACCATAACAACTATCACTGTACTGATGCACACAACTATAATTACAGTAGGTGCCATTTGTAGGGGAGTATACAGTATAATGGCACCCATCAGTTACATTGAAAAGGAAAGTCATATGCATTGCATTTTTATATATTATATCAAATATGTATAAAATCAGAATTTTTACCTGTTTTTCTTCCCAAATTTTGAATTCCTGTATTTACCTGTTTGATGATATTCTGAAAACTCAATCATGTTTCAATATAAAAAAAATCAGTTTTTATTGTATTTAATGAGCCTTTGAGGGGATGCATTTCTAAAGCTGTAACAATCTGGACCATACCCTGTGGGTGTCTCTGCTGTAAGGGTAATCTGTAGATCCAAAAGAAAGTGAAGTCATGATCCTACAGTATCTTTAATGGATAAATTTGAGATGGAGACTGAATTACTGGAGTGACTCCTTGTCTTTGGATTTGACAGATTAAATAAGTGTGCTATTTATTTTCATATACTGAAGTACACTTGAATAAGCTTGATAAAACTGACAACATTTTAATTTTGAAATATTGTAGAGTGTTTTTAATCCTTTAACCAAATAACCAAAATAAACAAATTCTCATTTACACTGATCTAGTACCTTTTGATCTGGCATTCAAAGCCCTAAAAACTATATCAATATACCATAGATTATCAAGTGATTTAATAGATTTCACTGTTTTAATGGTTTACTTTTCTTAAAGTAACAACAGTTTATAAAATGCAAGACACATTAGCTATTTTCCATGTTTTAGAATTTCAGTATAAGGCAATCTTTTAAGAATGGAAAGCAACCTAAACAGCACATACTGTAAGTGCAATGTACGTATAAATCTCTGTAAAATCATAATTCACAAATGTGCATGTCTTTCCAATGATTTTCTGTCAGTAAATGTAGTAAGTCTTTTAGAATACTGCTCTTCCATTTTTGTGATCTATTTCACTCAGATTTGTGAAGAGCTGTCATTGAAGAATGTATTTGTTTTTAAACATTAACTTTATATTTTAAAATGATTAATTTAGCAACTAATTAAATCTTACAGAATAGTAGTTCAGGTGGGTAGCTGCGTCAGCTGCAAAGGAATAAGTAATAGGTTTATTCCATGCTGAAAAAAAGAAGAAAGAAAAAACATTTCGGCCGTGGAGCCTTCTTCAGGTGTGACAATGCCTTGACAATGCCTTGCCTCTCTCACACCTGATGAAGGCTCTACGGCCGAAACATTTTGTTTTCTTTCTTCTTTTTTTCACCATGGAATAAATCTTACAGAATGCCTATGCTAGAACACCACTGTTGACAGGCTAAGATACTTTGTCAACCTTAAAATAGAATAACTCTATACTCTGTCTTACTTAGCAGATGTGAAGAAAGCCAACCATATTTTATCTTATTTAGAGGCAGCCTAACTTAAAACAGTTTCTCTTATTGCTTAGGCTACAGTACGTACACGTGGCCTTTCAATTCAATGTGTAGACTGTCAGTAATTGAATGCTCCTCTAGACAACTTCTCAGATCCTATTAACTATCGCCAGCCTTTAAATGAGTCCTTTCTGTGTACCCTGCTAATCCACAATGGATGCCTTCTGTTTGTGCAAAAAGAGCAGATACAGTGTAGCAGGCCTGACATGATCTGACACATTATGTTCATTGCAGCCTCCTCTAACACAATAAAATATCTGTGTATTAATACTACTTTGGGTAGAAAACAACACACAGAACAAGTGGCCTCATGAAACAATAGTCTTTGTGGCAGTATTCCATTGTCATAAAGCTAATCTCTGGTCCTCTGTTAAATAGTGTATAGTTACTTTTAATTTGAGGTACAGTAGGTGAATATAACTGTCAAAAGCAAAATAATAAATAAATCAAATGTGGGTAATTAATTTAGACAATTGCTTGTATGGAATAATAAGTGCTAGGTGTATCAATAGGCAGGATGCTGGTACAGCGGTATTCTGTACAGAGGTTCTGGTGAAAAAAGCAAAAAGTCATTAAACTAGCTGGACCAGTTGTGAATTGCACTTTAATTCTTGGAAAAATATCTTTACATACCAACACTGGTGTTTCTGTTAGGAGCAGCCATACAGTTATGGTTAAACTCTGACACTCCAGGGCTTTACCTATTATATTGTAGGAATTATGTAGATTTGTTTTAAAAGTAGAATTTTGTTATAGTGTTACTGTTCAGGACCCTGAAGTGTTATGACTAATGTATTGATGGACATTTTCGGTGCTAGCATTCATCATTGGCTGTATTGGTTGTGCAGTATGTGCAACAAGCCCACCAAGTGGTGGGTGAGGTATACTGTAGCTGGGGCCCTCCAAAGTGAAATTTGTCCTCCCAGAACGAAAGTTCATCCTCCATAGATTTTCCTCTTTCCATTATCTTTTCTCTTTTCACAGAATCCCGGATCACTGATCTCAAATCTTG